CGTATTTCAAAGAATGTTCTTATACATGCATTAAAAAATGTTGGTCATGTATTAAAAAATGTTCATCTAGTTTTTAAAATTTGTCATACCATTCATGTTAGCACGTTTAAAAATTCATGAAATTTAAAAATGTTCACAAAACGTAAAAATGTTCACAAAACGGACAAATTTTTAAGAATGGTCATGATATATAAAAAAAATTCGTGGAATCATAGAAAAATAGAATTGTTTTTAAATATGACATACCAAAAACTGTTCAGACCTATTTTTATGAAAAACATGGAAATGAAAAATAAGAAAAATTGGAAGAAAAAAACCGAAAAGGGAACATGAAAATAAAAAACAACACTAAAACGGGCAAATTAAAAGAAAGGAAAAAAACGGCCATAGAAGGTTCCAAAACCACAGAAAAAACGCTGTAGGCTGTAGCTTATAAGCTTTGCAAAACCATCGGAATGCCCAGTCAGACGGACGGTGGAAAACAGCGAGATATAGTCGTTGCGTTGAAACAGGCCAACTTTTCTTGAGTTCTTAATGGACCAGATACCTTTTTGGAGGATCTAACAGGCCAGAGATTCCATTTAGGAGCACAGTAGTTCAGCCCAGATTGGTGAGAAAGAATTCAAAATATAAAGGGTTGATCAGAAAGAGATAATTATGTTTAACCCCCTAAACTGTCAGGTTTGACACGTATTTCCTCCTAAACTATTATTGGCCTAATTAACAAACCCGGTTTACTCTTCCACCCTACTGATGACTTGTTAGCGGACATGTCTACGGTTTAATTTTCTTCACCTACTAAGCAACAACATGTTGGCTTTGGCACTGGAAGGGGTTAATTTGCTGTATGTTGTGGCGATCGAATGGCTTCTCTCCGAGGCTTATGTTCCAACAATCATCAATGACCGATTATATATATTACAATTCAGTAATAAATATTTCAAACAGTCTAACTTGAACGAAAAAGTTATCATTAAACAGTCGTATATATGACCGATTAGTGATGTCATCACAGATGGGCCAATATCGCCATTTTTAGGGGAAACCCAAGCTTTATTGATCAAACTCCCGAAGGAGAGGAATGCAGAAGGGATGATGTGGTTGTAGCAACCAAACATGTCCACCCTGATCAAGATAGTTCGAAAACTTGGCTAACCTATCAGCATCCACATTTGTAGCAAGACTTTCAAACAAGAAATTACAATTGAAAAAGGCAGATCTATGCTTGATTTCTCTAATGATTGAACCATATGCTCCCTGGGTCCCCTTCTCAGTGTCACTGATGATCTGTTCGGGTCTGAAGCTACGACAAAATTGTTTATCTAAAGATCTTCAGCCAGAGCCAAAGCCTCCCGGCAGGCTATAGCCTTCATGGTGGCGTTGTCAGTTATGCCTTCGATCACTAGTGCTAAACTTCCCATAAAATTACCCTGTAAATCCCTGCAAACAGTCGTTGCTGCGCCTCTGATTTGGTTCCTCGCAATGGCTGCATCAACATGAATCTTGCAAAATCCATGAGGTGGTGCTTTTGGCCTTGTTAATCTTCTCGTTGATTGTACCGATGTACTAGCTGGCTTCTTGGGCAGCATGCCTAGATCATCAATGAACCTGCCCAATATCACCTACCAGAAGTCTACTTTGTCCTATTCCTATTGTACCATTCATATCTGATGCGCTTACATTTCGGCACGTCAGTGTGATTTTACGCCTAGGTTAAGGCCGACCGCAATGCACTCCTTGGCCAGTCCATATAAAAGATCCTAACCATAGAGAGATAATTATTCTTTCTATCTTCAAGTGCTTCTCCTCTCCTCTAGCTGTTGGACACCTCACCATACCGTCAACCAACCGCTCGAGAGAGCTCATCGTCGTGGATCTTCCCCGGCCTCATGCAGATTCAGCTCCGACCCGCCCCGTCCCCAACGTCGATGGCGATGTTTGCCTCACGCGGGGCCACCCCCTCCTTGATGCAACTATCCCCTACGAGCCCTCCTAGAGGCTAGGCTAGAAGAGGAGGAGGAGCTCTTCGCCTCTCCATCCTTTCCTCTTCTCTCCAGCACTAGGATGACGAATTCACTTATGGTTGCTTCCTCCTTCCCACCCCTCCTAGCGGGTGAGCTAGCCATCTCTCCCGACTCCATCCTCATATATGAGTCGGTAAAATTTGGGTCCAATTTGTATGTAAATGCAATTGCACGAAATTGTCAACACACAACACATTTAGATTTTGTTTCTACATACATGGCTGACACCAGATTTTGGCATGGTTATAAATGTAACTAAGATTGAATCAAATGATAAATATCTCACCATGAAATTTCTTCGTCTCCTCAAGACAAATAATTATGTTTTTTTGGATCACCTCGATACAACGTCGTATGCAACTTAGAGAGCCAAAACAGTTCGACCGAACTATACTTGAAATTGAGTGCCCGACCCCCACATATTTATACATGTCAGAAGGTATTGACACTGTAGCACATGATTTTGCTAGGTTTTAAGAAAACTATGTTGTAGAATGCAAAACATTTCCAAAATTATGAACAATTTTTTAAGGCGTCAATTTTTTTATAAAAGGCGAACATTTTTGGAAACCATGATCATATTTAGAAAATAAAAATATTTTTTACAATCATGAGCAATTTTTGAAATCACAATTTTTTTTGAAATTGGGAATATTTCTTGGAATTTTGAACAATTTTAGAAACTCGAACATTCTAGAAAAAATCCGGACATTTTTTAAAAACAAGAACATTCTCTGAATTTGACAATAAATATATGAACATGGAATGTTTTTTAATTTTTGGAAAACATGGACATTTTTTAAATTCTGATTTGTTTAAAAAGGACATTTAAAAAAAGGCATACAAAACCAGTAAAATAAAAGAACATGAAAAAGGAAAAAGGAAATAAACAGCCAGACTGAAACCTTCCGGGAGGTTTCCAAAACCCGAGAACGTGTGTTTTCAAATGCGCCGTCCCAAGGAACCACTAGCGAGCGAATTCATGTGCGAAGTGGCTTTAATTGACACAATATGCGTCGAATGAGAAATTCCACAGGGGGAACCCTCCAACTAGTTGCTCCCAGAATTACCCTTTTTGATTTAGAAAAGTCTAAAAAAATTGAGACAAGTTAGAAAAGTTTAGTGGATTAAACAAAGGTAACAAGCGCTCGGGCTTCAACGATGGTAAGAAAAAAAAATGGCCTTATTTGAATATTTGTACGATCCAGAAAAGCTCAGTGAGGCCCATTACTTACACATTCTAGTACAAGCCTCGTGTGTCAAAAGAACTTCCTATTTGTCGCAAGTTCTGACAAATTATGCAAGAGCTATATCTCGCTTACTGCAAGACTACCTTCTATCTCGCTGAACGCTTTTTCTATTCTGTACAAAACTAGGTTAGCCCGTTTCTTAGCTCTTGATCAACTGATTGTTCGGGCGCGCTTGTTTGCACGCTGGTAGCGTACGCCACATTTTGTTATGTTTTATTATTTTTCATTTTTCTTTCGCATTTTTCTATCTTTATGGGTTTCTTTGTTTTTTTGTTTTTTCTTTGATTTTTTCATCGCTTTACTTTGTTTTATTCCTGGTCTTTACTTAGTTTTTCCTTTCCTTCTTTTTTTTTGTTTTCTGTAGTTTCTTTCTCCGTTTTCATTGTTTTTTCTTCTTTCCTATTTTCTTATTTTTCTTTGTTTCTTTGATGGTTTCCATCGATTTTTCTTTGTTTTCCTTTGTTTCTTTCTCGTTTTTTTTACCTTTTTCATTCTTTTTCATTGATTTTCTTCGATTTTTAATTTCGCCTTTTTTGTATTTATTCGGTCTGTATGTTTTTCTTCGCTTCGTTGTTTCTTTGTCGACTTTCATTGGTTTTATCTTTGTTCAACATATGTTGACCTTTCTCAGTACACATTCAAATTTTTTTGTATACATCAGAAACATTTTTTAACTAGATGATTAACATTTTTTTGAAAACTAGTTTTTACACACACATTGTACACTTTTGGTATGTATCTACATTTTCTATGTATACATTTAACATTTTCCAAATATAAGATTAACATTTTTTGATTACATGGTCTGCATTTTTCAATACATGGAGAATTTTTTAATGGCAATAAAAAATCTTTCACAAACAATGTATATTTTTCGTGTACACCAGGAATATTTTTGATATATGTTTAAATTATTTTAAATAAATGATCAACATTTTTTCATACACATGTTTGCTTTGTATATATTTTTTCTATACATGAAAAAGGTTATTTCTATACACGTTTAATTTTTTTCAAATGGCTGATTAAAATTTCCAATTGCTTAGTTAACATATTTCAAATACTTGACTAATATTTAAAAAAGCATGATTAGCATTGTATATTCAGGCTTTCATTCACATTGTATATTTTTTGTATCCAGGCTTTCATTCACATTGTATATTTTTTGTGTCCAGGCTTTCATTCACATTGTATATTTTTTTGTATTCGGAATTTCTTTTTTGTGTTCAGGCTGTTATTTTTATTTTATGATTTCAAAACCTTTCAACTTTAGAAAAAAATTACAAAAATATTCAAAAAAAATTCTTCCTTTCAAAAACTGTTAGATTTTTTTAAAAAAATATTCACATTTTCCAAAAACTATTTGGGAACTCAAGAAGAGTTCCCATGTTCCAAAAATGTTCACAAATTCGAAAAATATTCATGTTTTCAAAATCGCTCATGTTTCCCCAAAAATAGAAACTAAAAAAATTCGCATTTCAAAAGAAATTTTTGCTTTTTTTCCTAGAAAATGTTCGAAAATAATAATAAAATCCATCGCCACAGTAACACGAGAGCTCCCCAATGCTACAACCTCTATGGCTACAACAACAGATCTCACAGTACTGGGCTGGCCCAGCTGGAGGCTCTCTGCAAATCGCACATAGCAGCTCCCCCAGCCGAAAGTCAGACGCAACGCCGCCCCCCAGAACCCTCGCCGCCGCCGCCGCCACCGCCACCGCCGACTATGACGTCCGTGCGCAGCGCCGCCGGGGTTGCCCTGCCGCCGATCCGGCTGGCGGTGGAGCGGGCGCGCCAGGAGGCACTCCGGCGCGAGCTGGACGGGTGCCAGCTCCTCGCGGGCATCTGGTGCCACGGCTTCACGGTGGCGCAGCTCCGCAGCATCCGCGCCTCGCTCCCCTCCACGGCGCGGCTGCTGGTCGCCAAGAACTCGGACCTCGCGGCGGCGGTCGAGGGCACGCGCTGGGAGTCGCTCCGCCCCTGCGCCCGCGGCATGAACGCCTGGCTCTTCGTGCGCTCCGACGAGATCCCGCCGGCGCTCCGCCCCTACCGCGACTTCCAGAAGGAGTGGCGCCTCCAGCTCAACGACTTCACCGGCGCCGTCTACGAGGGCCGCCTCTACGGCCCCGACGACTTCGCGCAGCTCGAGGCCATGCCCACCAGGGTGCAGTCCTACCAGTACCTCCTCGGGTGCCTCCAGATGCCCGCCGTCTCCGTCCTCGCCGCCCTCCGCGCGCGCCAGGAGGCCATGGCGCAGGCCGAGAAGCCGCCCGCCGAGGAGGCGGCTCCTGCTCCGGCGCCGGAGAAGTGATCCCTCCGTCGACGCCGAGGTTCCGCAGTTATCACACCTGCAGCTCCTTTCTCTTTTGCAGATTTTGAATTCAGTGTTAGTAGAGAACACCCACAAAACCATCATAAGGATGCATTGCCCATATGTATCATCAGTTCATGAACTGACTTTTGAATGGGAAGAAGAAATGTGATTTGCTAGATCTTTCACTAGTGCCGAATCGCTCGTGTACTAGACAAAATCAGAAAGAAGCTTAGGATGATGATGTATATTCTTGCTTTGGTTGCTTGTTCCTTGTTGGAGTAGAGGAGGGGGCAGAATGAAAAAGAGAACCTATCAGCATATACTAGCTATATGGTACAATAGATTCCCCAGATAGATGGCACAAGCTATCAGCATTGTTAGCGAAGTTAGATTTTTGTGCAGACCGATGAACTCATGGAGTATCATTAACCCAAGACATCACCTAAGAAAAGACAACAAAAGACATGAACTCCAGCCAGGGATTTTTTTTTTGGCAGCTATGCATTCCCCAGAAAAAGGGAAGTTGTGCAGCTGACAACACATGCACATCCCCAGAGGGACTTTTCTTTCCTGATAAACTAACGTTGGAATACCATAAGCATCATTACTTCATTGCGCAAGCGCAACTTGTATCAGTTATCACATCATTTCAGTTCGATCAATAGATGATGGCCTGGGTGCGTTGTAAAGTTTGGTTTCCCCTTGCTGATCTTTCACCTAGGTTATGCTCTTTGTCTAATTATAAGTTAGAGAACTTCACCAGGTCAATGTCAGTCAATGGTGATACATCATGTTCCTGCATTCTAAAACTAAATTCAGAACAATGTTCAACAGGTGTTGTGTTAGACATGCTGAATTAGCTATTAAGCTATATGTATATATAAGATTAAGAACAATATGAGCTCACATCACTTGTGAGTTGTGCGCCAGCTTCACCAAACAATTTGAACTGGCATGGCTTCTTATCTTACATCATTACTCATTATTAACTACAGCTGAGTACGCCTAGTTTTTTTAGGACAAAACAGTAGGTGGTTAACATACTTCACATTTCAATTAATTAAAAAATAGTTTACATGAAACATACATGCAGATAATTACAAGCAAATACTCCCTCCGTCCCCAAATATAAGTCTTTTTAGAGATTCCAATAAGTGACTACATAAGGAGCAAAATGAGTGAATGTACACTCTAAAATATGTCTACATACATCCGTATGTGGTAGTCCATTTGAAATGTCTAAAAAGACTTATATTTAGGAACGGAGGGAGTACATAGATTTAGAAGAACCGGGCAACCCATTCTACAAAGCTAGCATAAGAAGCTCTCTGAACGCGACAAAGGACCATTTTCCAACTCATACTTCAAAAATTTCCTGCATCTGTAGAGGCGGGTTTTTGTTGTTGAAGATGTAATCATTTCTGGTGATCCAGATGCTCTAGGCAACCAATATGATTAGTTCCATGAAAAAAAGTAACAGCCAGAGAGTTCTTCAAGCGTAAGATCTTATCCTGAAGACTGCCAGTTAACTGAATATGAGGGCATAGCTAGCTCCAGCAACATTGTGCAAACGGGGCATAACTGAATAATGGTGTGCACAACAAGTAGCAGTTCTTCTGATAATCCTCCTTCCGATTAATATGCAGACATGCCATTCTTTTAATAACCTGTCGTGGTAGCAGCTGAGTAGGGAGGCAAGAGAAGCAAATCCTTCGGCTCTAAGAATTCTCTGCAGCCGTTTTTACTCACAGCCCATGGAAAACTTGAAGCACCATTATTGTGTTGACTGATTTTTCTCTCCTGTTTGAATGTCCAGCGTACTTGCATGCTTATTGCTGGTCTGTTCAGTCTTGGAATGCCGTAATCATCATTACTTTGTTACAACATGTATTATCAGTTATCACATTGTTTCAGTTCGATTGAGCTTGGGTGCGTTGTAGTGTTTGTTTTTCCGTTCATGATCATTTTTATCACCTAGGTTATGTACTTGTGATGTGTTTATTTTATTTTATTTTCAATTATTTTGGAGGAATTTACCAGGCCAGTGCCACATACTGGAGTTTACTGAAAGAGGCAGAGAGTTGAGCGGTCAATGGAGATACTTGTTCCGTGTCACTCACTCTAAAACTAAATTCAACCCAGTGCTCATCAGGTAATGTGGTGGCCATGCAGAATTATCCATTAAGCCATATATCTACTTATAAGAGATGAGGAACATTATGAGGCCACATCAGTTACAGCTGATTACAACGAGTCGCAACACTCCAGCGACTCCAGAAGCCAGCTGCTCTGATTGAGAAAGAAACATCTTTAAGAAGGAAACAATTGCAGCCCGACGGTTCAACCTGTCAAATTGCGTTGTTTGCAAATCTGCAGTATTCATAAACTTGAACCTAGAGCAAAAGACTCGAACTGCATACATACAAAATGATTTGTTCAACTTGTTGTTTTGATGGCGAGGAAGCCTGGTTTTCTGTCGGTCTCTCTCCCTCAAAGCAGCTTTGGTTCTGCTTTCAACGTTGCTCCGAGTTTCTCAACGCTGGCTAGCTAGCGGCGACGACGACGACGAGCTTCCTCCGGTATCAGTATACAGCATGATACACCCTTGCAAATCACTCTAGTGCATAATCACAAGGAACCCTTGAATTGGAAACGTATGGTCAAGAAAAAGAATTTCATGCTTGAGAATACTCTAGCAGATCTCTGAATTCTTACGATCACCCCTAGATATTGCCATGGAATGCACTGTTTCATGGCGAGCCCGTTGAGGTTTCCAGGAGCAAGAGCAAATCGCAAAATCACACATGAATTTAATTAATTAATCCATACATTTGGTCACATAAAACACACGATTACTTGCTACATTCGTACTACAAGTTCTCTGAAACCCCTACCTCTCAGAGCAGCAAATACAATAAGTGAAGGTTCACACATCGAAAGTTGCATATCTTACTTGAAGATGCACTTCGACTTCGGAATGGGAATAAATGTGATGCACAATAAAGGTTCATACATGTTGCTAAAACTCAACTCCGCAAACCAAGTTACACCATACGTGATCGATTCAATGTGAGAAGGCGCGCCACAACGTCTGTCATTGATGGCCTTTGATCCACATCAAGGTTGAGACATCCCACAGCAATCCCTGCTAGTGTGTCAAGAAGCTCCAAATTTCCTGTGGTTGCAATTTCCTTATCAAACAACTCGGTTGCTTTCTTCTTCTCTTTGTGGCACTCGAGGAAACTCGTCACCAAGCTGTTGTTGTCAGAATGAGTGGCCTTCTTCCTGCTAATGACCTCTAAGATGACAACCCCGAAACTGTAGACATCACTTTTTTCAGTCAATAGGCCTGTTTGTAGGTATACTGGGTCCATATAAGTCATGTCACCAATGACATTTGCAGTGTGTTCCTTGTCTATTGCAATCAACCTTGATATGCCAAAGTCAGAGATCTTTGGCACAAAGCTGTCATCCAAAAGTATATTTGCTGGTTTAACATCACCGTGCAGGATTTTGGTATGGGCCTGTGAATGCATATAAGCTAGACCATGTGCTGATTCTGCAACAATGCTTAGACGCACATCCAAGTTGAGAGGCTCCTTGTTGTCAACCCTGTGAAGAATGTCATGCAAACTTCCTTTGGAAATGAACTCGTACACTAGCATGGGGGTATCCACTTCTAGGCAACAACCTATGAGCCTAACAATGTTCTTGTGGATGACTTGGGATTGGATGATGACTTTATTTGCAAATTGCTTGTTCTCCAGCACATTACCACTAATTGGTTTCTTTACTGCGACTAGTATGTCATCAACAACCCCCTTGTAAACTTCACCAAAGCCACCTTTTCCAATTAAATTGCTAATCTTTAAAACTGGCTTGAGCTCCTCCTTTTTGAAAAGCTTTATAACTTTAGCTTTCTCTAAGGTAAGACCACCATTTTTCTCATAGAACTCTTTGGTCTTCCGCTTCTCTTTCCGAATAATAATGACAAATGCCGTAAATGCGATGACAAGTGCACCACCTATTGCACCTATATATGGACAAAGAAGCAAACTTAAATACTTTAATAAATAATTCCTGATAAAGAAAGGTAAGATGCTGAAATTGAATGTACCCGCGTCTCGGATCCTACATGATACAGTATAAGATTGTGTCCCTCGGCGGGGGAATTATTTGTTCACCAGTTGACTGAAACTTTGTTAAATATATTCTGGTCACTTGTAGATCTCAAACAGTAATCGTCACTCCCCTTACACCCACCCATTCAGCTAGTTAACTCTAGGAGGCACTAAACTATAACAAAATACATATAAAAAGAGCTACATATTAAGATTGCACAATTTGTTTTGTCTACTTGAAGTGAACGTAGAGAAATTTAATATTTGCGGAACTGATAATTAGCAAAATCAAAACATTCAAAGTAGTTTGCCTGAGGTTACCTGTGGAAATCTGTGCAGCAAGTGGGAACTTTGGAACGCATTGTTCAGTTCTTGGGTCATCGCTCTCGTAACCTGGATGACAGGTGCATTGGTAAGATCCTTGAGTGTCCTTGCAGACACCGTAGCAAGGATACTTCACCGGATGTGCACATTCATCTATATCTGAGTTGCGCAAATTCACAAAAATCATCATTAGGGCATCGATCGACTGCTTAAAACCTTATTTCTAACAACAATGGTGTCTTAGAAAACATGCAGCCAGATTTCTATTTTGAGCACTGATTAGCAAGAAAAAAAGATCTTCATATGTATTGGCTGGAAACTATACCATCAGATTTGTCAAGAAAAATACTAGTTTCATATTTGATTTGTTCGTACATATTTCATACAAAGATTGACGGTCAAAGTTTCTAAATGCGAAGTAAAAAATGTCACCATGTTAACACAGTATAAAACAGAGGGTGTACAACTAGAACATACGTACTATAGTAGGAGTACTATTGGTTTTCACTTTGAGTTTCAGGAAAATTTCAGCAGCAACCGAAATCACCGAAATTCAGTGAATTTCGGTGATTCCGGTTTGCATTTCGTTCAGAGGGCCGAACTACTCTATTGGATTCAATTAAATATTTTATAAAAAATGGAAAAATATTTGAATTCCTGTATACTACTGAAATTACTGAAATAATTTGGTGGAAATGTAAATATTTCAGGGACTACTGAGATTACTGAAATTCAAGGAATTTCATAGAATCTCACAGAAAGTACTACTTACTGGTGCATCCGTCGGCAAGGTAGGCGTTGCCATCGTAGCCTTTGGAGCACTTGCAGTTGTAGCCCGGCCCATTGGTGGAATCCACGCAGTCGCTGTGCGCGCTAACGCAGGCGGACTGACCCGTCTTGGCCGCCTGCGTGCACGATAACACGTCGCCGCGGATGGCCCAGTCGAGCCACACGGGCGAGGTCCGGTTGGTGTCCATGAGGAGGTCGGAGCGGCGGAAGGTGTAGTTGTTCCTGTCGACGAGGAAGGCGTAGTCGCAGGGGCTGTAGTCCATCATGGTGGAGTGATTGTAGGCATGGAACTCGAAGTAGTTGCCGGTGAGGCCCGGCGGGATGTCGACGCGGCAGCACCCGACGCCGGCACAGAGGCCGTCCCGCGCGCTCGCCGAGTCATTGCAGTAGGACATGCACCCGGTGTAGTAGGCGTACGGGTACGCCGCGCCACCGCCCTCGGTCTTCCCGCTGGCGGTGTAGGCCATGGTGTTGCAGCCGAGGACGACGAGCTCATTGTGCGTGTTGGAGATGCGGTACACGCCGTCCTTGTTCATCTCCGTCTCGGCGTAGCTGAAGTCTGCGGCCTTGCTGGGGTTCGAGGCGTTGTAGCACATCCACCCGACGGGGAGCAACACCAGCGACTCCGCCGGATCAGCCGACAGGTGCACCACCTGGATGGACGTGCCGGCGAGCACAGGGCGGCCGTTGTTTACGCACTCAATCTCGAAGCCCTTGCGGAAGCAGCCGCCGCCGATGCCGAAAGGGTAGGGGATGACCACTCCGCCGCAGCTCATGCCGCAGCCATGGGTCACCACGAGGCTCCCTGCCGCCTCGGCGGTGGCTGACGCTGCAGCTGCCGCCAGGAGTAGGGCCATCAGCAAGAATGCTGTCGGCATTGATACTGTACCTGCTCATGCATGTGCAACGGTAGCTCACTCCTTTATACTGGAACCGCCGATGGTGGACAATAAGAAATTAATTTACATATATAAAATGACTCAAGAACAAAGCAATATGCATGTAGTAGTCCAGCAGCATCCCACATTCTAGTTAATTTTGTGTGATAACAATTTCTTCAAAGTGTGCAATCTCTTGTTCTCTGATCTGCTCCAGTGTCTACGAACAATTTCTTAATGTGTGCGTAACACAGATTGGTTGTATATAATCATCTTTAGATAATTTTGTATCGCCTTTAAATGCTTTTAACTACATTAAAACATTGTTCTTTGCATCATTTCACTTCATAAAAAAATGTTCATTTCCATTAAAAACATGTGCCAAATATATGATTTGTGCTATATGTCATAACAAAACCCAATAAACCGTGCCGAATCAGGACTGAAACATCATTGAGCACCCATGGGCATTTGGGACTTTTTCTACCAACTACATGTCCCGCAGCCATACTAAGGCCCACTTATTTTCGGCTCGAGGAGACGGCTTAAGCTTAACTGCCCACTGAATAGCAGTGGAAAAAAGCAGCTAAACAAATGCAGTCATTCTTTTTGTTTTCTGTCGTTTGAGCTTATGGTCTAGGTTGTCTGATGAAAAGTCTATAATACGGTACCCCTGGACTATTATTGTGTTCTGACTAGCTGATATTGTGTTACTATTTCCTACTGTTTTCCCATGGATATGAGCAAGAAAACAATTTCCAAAATACCACTAGATCTACTTGTGTCATGTTTAATTAGCACAGATGTCACTACACGGTCTACCTACGCAAGAATAGCACTATAAACTCTAGAAGTTACTCATTGTAAAATTGCACTGCAAAGTTTATAAGTTACCCATTGTTAAGTTGCACAACGCCTAATCATACAAGAAACATACAATTACAGAATTACTCAGTAGCACACAACCTAGTTCTTCAACAATATGTCTGAACATTGCATTAATTTCTTCAGACATTAGTGTGTCAAGCATATATGCATCATTGTCTCTAACCATACATCCATGAAGTAGATATGCAAGTGCATTACTACTGTTGAATACTACAACCTGCAAATCTAAAATGCACATTAGTCTTTGTTGGAAGTCAATCTTTAATTGCTAGCTTTTCTCTGTGTATAAATGATTGCAGAATGCCTAATCATCCACGAAACATACAATTCCTCGGGAGCAGACTACCTAACTCTTCAGCAATATATCTGAACACTTCATGCTGATTTCTTCAGACATTAGTGTGCCAAGCATATACGTACACATCATTGTTTCCCTAACCATGCATCCATGAAGAAAACCTAAGCTACAAGCTGCAAATCTACAAATGCACACTAGCCTTTTCTTGAAATCAACCTTTAATTCTCTGTTCCTCTATGTGTCCATATGAGATTGCAGAGGACTGACCGCAGAATGGAAGTAACATCCTCAAAAACATCGTCTAAAATGCATATATGCAACACAAGCCGCTAATTGCAAGGACGTCGAGCGCCACGTTCGTGCGCACGGTGAAGGTGCTGCACGGAGCGCCACCTCGTCGCCGTCCGCGCTGGAGCCGGCCGGCGCGGAGCGAGCTACTGGAAGCAGGAAGACCGAGCTGAAGCCGGTTGAGCACCATGGAGGGAGGTGCAGCATTGATAGCGAGAGGGAGATCAGGTCGAGCTCGTGCCAGTGGCGGGGGGAGGCAGCGCGGGGAGGACGACGGCGCCGGAGACGACCCGATCTGCTCCAGCGGGTCGGCGGCTGGAAAAAAAAGGAAGGCTCGGGCCGGGAGGTGGCTCGATGGGTGGCCACGTACGAATTTAGG